AGGCGAGCTCTCGACAAATCTCGACAAACAGGTCAATTTTCCTACAGTCAAAACATCGAATTGATGAGTCATCCGCCCTTCAGTCCTGACTTGGAACCCAATGACTTCTTTTTATTTCTTAAAAAAACTGCGTGGTCAACGATTTACGAGCGCCGAAGAAGCAATTCTAGAGTTCAAAAACCATGTTTTGGAGGTGTCTCAAAAGGGATTGAAAAATTGATATGAGCATGGTTCTAACGAATGCAAAAGTGTATTGATGGAGTGGATTGATGAGAGGGAATGTATTAAAAAACGAGGGGGAACGTTGTGAGTTGCTGCGGACACCGCAACTCTACATTTATAGCCGATACTAAGTCAGTATGGCTCTCCTCCGGCAGACGCCGCTAATATTAAACGACACGACAAAGAGTGCGTGCGAGAGAGACAGAAAATCAGTCTGAGCGTGACGTCGGGCGCTGCGTAGCCACTGCAAATTGATTTGTTCCTTTTGGCTATAAAAATGATCTGATCTGATCTGATCCAGATTCAGCAACCGGATAGATACGGTCATTCTCTATGATTGTCCGTTTTTAGTTTTCTCGAATCTGCAATATTGTGGATGCAACAGATTTTCGTCCTTTGTGGGGGCGGAAGGGGGTGGGGCGAAATTTTGAGATATACGCTTTATAGTGAGATCTAACAGAAGTGCGGATAACAAATTTGGTTACTCTAGCGTTAATAGTCTCTGAGATTTGTGGATGTCCCAGATTTTCGTCCTTTGCGGGGGCGAAAGGGGGTGTGGCGAAATTTTGACACAAAATGGTCAAGGTCCGATATTACAGAAGTGTGGATACCAAATTTGGTTGCTCTGGCTGTTACAGGTTCTGAGATCCTTGAACTCATATTTTGCAATTGGCAAAACAGACCATGAAACCTGTGTGTTAGAGAGAGACAGAGCGAGAAAGAATGAAATTGTTTTCTTGATTCTGGCTAAACTAATGATACGATTCAATTCAGATTCTGCAGTTTAAAAGATATGGTCATTCTCTACGATTCTGCGTTTTTGGTTATCCCATATCTTTAAAATTGTGGATGCCACAGATTTTCGTCCTTTGTGAGGGCGGAAGTGGGCGGGGCGAAGTTTTGAAATATTTTTGTAGCAGTGACATATCACAGAAGTCTGGATCCAATAAATTCCATTTTCCATGAACACTTAGTTGCAAAAAAGGTTTGTTCTCGTTGGATACCTTATAACTGATCAATCGCTCAAAAAAAGGCTCGCGTCGATTGGAGTGATAGGTGATGAATGATGGATATATGCGTATGAGCCGGAAACTAAACAGCAATCGACCGTGTGGGTGTTTCAAGATGAGCCAAATCCAACAGAAGTTGTTTGAGCACGAAGCACTTTGAAGCAAATGGTTGCTTGTTTTTTCGGGAGAATGGGTCATGTGGCCATTTTTCTGCTAGAGCAACGTAGGACTGTCAATTCTGAGTGGTAAACGACCATTTTTTTTGCCGGAGGTCTTCGGAGAAATTCGCAAAACCAACTGCCGAACACGAATCAATCTCCATCATGGCAAGGCGAGCTCTCACACATCGCGACAAACAGGTCAATTTTCCTACAGTCAAGCCTTTCAGTTCTGACTAGGAACCCAATTTCTTTTTATTTCTCACATCAAAAAAAATGCGTGGTCAACGATTTACGAGCGCCGAAGAAGCAGATGAAGAGTTCAAAAACCATGTTTTGAAGGTGTCTCAAATGGTATTGAAAAATTGCTATGAGCAATGGTTCTAACGAATGCAAAAGTGTATTGATAATGAGGGGGAATATATTGAAAAACAATAAAACCATTTTTATTTAAAAATTGTTCTTATTTCCTATTCCCGAAAAATAAATAGCAATCCTCGTAGTACTCATGAATGGGGTTATACCTAGAATTATTTAAAATGCAGGTTGCTTTCTCGAAAAGGCTTACTATAAATGGGTCACAAAATAATCTGAAAAGATCAGATTCTCATGATATCATGATATTTTAAGATTAAAAGCTTTCTTTCTTTTATTATATTAAAATTTTTATTAATGCATTTCAGTGTAAAAATTAAAATGACACATTTTTCCTTACGTAAATTTCACATGTTCCTTTTTTTATTATATGTTTTTGTTTGCTGCTTGTATTTTCTATAATGAAAAGTAAAAAAAATATACATGTACAATCAATTATTGTAATTTAAAGATGATTGTTAAATTTTTTCACTGTTTATCCTTTGTTTTATTTATCGCTAAATGTATTTATAAACGTACTAATAAATAATTTATGAAACTATTTTTTGTTGTAATTTATAGGATTTAAAATTTTTCCGTTTTCGTACCCAATGTTTCATCTATTCTACACGATACGAAATTTTCAGAAAACTCCCCATTTTTTGCAATCATGCCCGTTTTCTTTTTTCTTTAATTTGTTTGAGCACCAATGAAAGAAACGCAACTGAACCATTAAGGAACATTAAAATTTTCCACATTTACCCTGTGATCCATACGCATATTCAAATGTAAACATTATTCATGTTAGGATTCATACTGCCTTCTAACACGAACTAATCACCGAAAAAGTTTAACTTTCAAATTATTTCGGATTATTTAAATCCACATATTTTTGAATGTACATATGTACTATAAATAGGGTATATCTAAACCAGATTGAGAAAGGATTAGGGTTAGGATCATTACGGTGAACATGGTGTTTGAAAATCTTAAAACATTTTAAGAAATGCATATTTGATAAATTATATAAAACCAATTTATATGAAACCGAAAGAAACCAAAATATTTTTAATTACTTGCAAGGCTGTAAGAATATATATACGTATATATATTTACATCTGTAGTTCTGTACAACTTTCTCAACAGCTTTAGAAAGGAATTGTTTTCCGAAAATTATATAAAACTAAGTACTTAGTAATTGTTATTTATACTGCATGGGTGTTTGTATGTATGCGTATCTTGATATTATCTAAATAACATAATCAGATTCTTAAGAAAAATGAGATTTGTAAGCATACGAATCAAAGCAATCAATTCACAATGTGTGAACTGTTAATAGGTGCATAAATATATATTTACTTCATTTTGAATTGGAAATACATCAATCGATAAAAAAAAATCGGAAAAATGTTGCTTGGTGAGTGCTCATAGAACAAGGCTTTGGCCCTCTGCTGTGCCCATTCAATTACCATTGGCCATTTACCAATGAATTGTATAATACTTTGCTTATGTTAGGCACTATTTTATTAAATTAAAATAAGGTTTTTTTGTCTCTGTTCTTACTCAGTTGTAGTTTGTAGTTGAAATATAATTCCTGTTAGAAAACATATCGACTTTATAGTTTTACAATATATATATTAATCGTGTAAACTTTTATTTTTACTAAAAAGACATTTTTGTAATTATTTAATTTTTTTGCAACAGTGGGTTTTTCATTGAATACTTATTTTATTATAATTATTATTGTTACTGCTTAGCTAAGCTCTCGAATAAATTTACAACCCTCGCCATTGTTACGGGCCTTTGTTTCTTGCTTTCAATTGCATTTGCAATTTACATTACTTACAGACAAACAAAAAAATGCGTTTTTTTTATTCGTACAACAACGAAGTACTTCACATTATTTAATATGGTTTTACATTTACATTTAGAATTTTGTGTTTTATTACATGTTATAGTCATGTCAATTTACGAGTAAACCAGAATTACAGTATTTTACAATTACATTAGGCGTTTTTAATGATTTTTCTTATATTTTGTGAACGAGTGAGAGAACTGGCCAAAACTCCTCCGCACACCTGGTTCCTTATCTAATAAACCAATATGTACATATGTATGTATGCACGTAGGTTCGAGCTTAGCCTTCAGTGGATGCAGAGAGTGCGTAAATACCTATTACGTACTCGATTTTTCTGCTTTTGTTTAGTTTTTCATATAGTCATGAATAATTATCATTATAAATCAATAAATAATCATTTAATTAACGGTGGATCATTCGATTCATGCTTAATAAACTGCATTAGATATACATATGTATGGACTACATGTATGTTGTACGTTGACAATAAGTATGAAAAGAGAAAAACAGTCCCTCATAAAATATTCTCTATTGCAAGTAGCTATTCTTATGCAAAGATTGCTTTCATCGGATTGAGCAGATTTCCTTGTGCAGTGTCGATGTCACACAGCCAACCCAAACTCATGAGTAACCACCTGCGAGTTACAAGTGAGTAACCAATTGGTTCTCAGAATACTTCTGCATAATTCTGACACGTTGCTAATTCAAACTTTGCTTCATACTTTGAATATAATTAAAACGCTTAAGCAATATTGTTATGTGACATACTTTAAAAATATCAACAAAAATTAATTGAAAAAAAAAACCAGAAATATGTATGTAGTACCTAAGGATATATAAAGAAATACGTACATACATACATATTCGTACGCATCCGTATACGCATTAAAGTCGATGTACATATTCTCTCTTTCGTTTTTGCTTCAAAATCAGCGCGCAACAACTGTTAAATGTTTTCTATTGCTTACTTTTTTGTTGGGGTTAAAAAAAAAAAAAAAAAAATTAAACAAAAAATATATTTTAAGTAACTTGAGATCAATTAAATGTATTTTTGATGTAAATGTGTGTTAAAATTGATTTAATTACATCAGACTGTCCACGCAGAACAACACCCGAATTAAGGTGTTAGATATTACCAACTATCCCCAATACAAAAATACGAGACACCTTCGCTTTAATCCAAAAAATTCCGAAATTGTGGTTACTTCAATACTTTTAGAATTCCTCTTTATTGTTATTATAAAAACGTTTTTTATTTTATTTAAATGACAACGTTTTTACTTTACTTTAAGAAGTCGGGAATTTCGAAAGATTCCCAAATTGGTTAGTTTTTACCCTGGTTCTCAGAAGATACTATGTACATCATGAATTGTACTTGTTTTTATACGAGTGGACAAATATGTGTGATTCAAGTTTTTGATCAACAGAGATGACCTGTCTTTCAATTAACTTTATGTCTATTTTTACATGTACAGAAATCGAACGAACATCCAAATAAGGATGACCTTCCAAGGTTACAAAAATGTACTAGAACAATTTGTACAATGATATTATCTTTTTTTCGATTTGGAAAATCAGTTCAGTCATGGTTACCTGCCTAGGAAAAAGGGAGGAAAACGTAAAGATTTGATACAAACGTAGGTATTTCAGATTGCGCAGGTGTTAGGTAAGCCGATCAATAAATTGGAAACTACTAACTGATACAACAAACAAACTCGCCAACACTTAATGGTCTACGGCTCGCGATCATGGTTGCTGACAATTTTGGCACCAGCAGCGACCACCACCTCCATGTCTGCACCTAAATTTACCTGTTGAGCCATGGACAACTCTTGTGATTCTTTAAGATCTAGCTTGGACTCAGATATGGGATCCTTTCCGCAAATACTGCTGAGGTTTAGTGCAGCGGATGGATTTCCAGTAACACCATATTCCATTGCGGACAGCCTTAGAAAGTGCTCTAATGTGCCTAATTGTTTTTGGTCTAGTTTTTCAGCCTCAAACTCCTGATTTTTGCTAGTGATGCATGCGCTATACGGCTGCGCATTTGTGCGATGCTGCTGTTGATGTCGCGCATGCGACTGCTGTTGTGACTGATAGGTGTTTTCTGCTTGCGTATGTGCGTATATAACCTCTTTAACCTGTAGCGCAGCTATCGTATCAAGTTTTTTCTGATGGACCAGTAACTGTGGCTGTTGGTGCTGTAGGCGGGGAGAGGTGGGTGACAATTTAATAGGTTTTTCCAATTCAGATGCGTTTCCGTTTGTAATATCTCTTTTAGCACACTTTTGCGTTTTTTTGCTATGATCGTTGGCATTGGTGTTGGTACTGCTGTTAGGGTGGCTACTAATCGTATTGTTACTTTTATTTGTATTTTTGATTCTGTTGGTGTTGCTGCTGATGTATTCGCTGATTTGTGCATTGGTGGGGTTTGCGGACAAATTAGACGCTGCCTCACGCAGCTCTTGCTATTCCTTTATAAGACGGTAAATGTGGTGCGTGGTGCCGCTATTCTGCGCTGCCACTTCAAAAACATACGCTATGCATAGAAGAGTCTCTTGCGTCTCTCGCGCTCGCATTACCTGGGAAGAAATCAGACGAGATGGAAAGAGAAGATAAAGCATTGACAGATATAGAACGCCCGCCAACATACACTAAACTCACTTGTAATATTGTAAAGTTCTCTAGCACGCTGTTCATCATGTAACGTTCGGGTAAATTTTTAAGTTTCTGTATGAAATTAATCATGTACTCGCACATAGGTGAACGCTGGATGCGGTAGACGTAGCGATTATTTTCCAGTCGTGAGTACTCGCTCTCTACTTTCTCCACCACTTGCTTGCCGAATGAGCACACAATCGTCGAACATACCAGCACGATGTTCTCATTGCTTTCATATCTACGGTAGAGTAAAGTTTTCTCAGTATAGTTAAAAATGAGGTAAGGTAGACTGATGAGTTAGGACTTACTGGCTCGTTACCCCATAAAAATCACCCGATTCGCTGCCTGTCGTAATATCGGTATTTAAGTCAGCCCAGCACTTTACCAGGTAAAATGCATTTTGCGGACCCTTTTCATAGAGATCTTTCAGCCCGCCAGACTTTTCCGGAAATTTGTCAAATATTTGTCGGATATCAACTGTCTGAAATGGTTAACGTTTAGTAGACTTCTTAGATGGTACCGCAAATGATTACTCTCACCTCAAGTAGCGGATCGGAGAATGATGGCTTGCCGCCGAGTTGCACAAAAAGGTGGCGGTTATACTGCAAGGTTAACTGAAGATCACATCAATTCATTGAAGTTGCAAAGACTTTTATTGAACTTACCATGTCATCTCGTTGGATTTCCATGAACGCAGTGAACTCTAGTAAGCGGAATTTGTGCGTAGCAATAGCGCGCCCCTCCCATGGCAATTGTGCGGACGGAATACCAGCTTCGATCTCCCCGGACACGGCCGTTGATGGTTTACCCGCAGGATATGGTGGCTGTGCGAACGGCTTGATGCTGTAATCATAGAAACTATTGGTCAATGCAATTGCGTTGTATTGTCAGCTGCTAAGGGTGGGCGATGGCAACTTACTCTTGCGAGGTGCTGGGCTGCAGTCCAGGCTGCCAAAATTGCTGAGCGTAGAATAGAAAGTGTATAAATTGATTAAAAATCTTAGATAAGTCCATAACTTCGTTAATTTTGCATCGGTCAGTATATGTTATTTTTATTAGAAGTTACACGAGATGATCGAACATAAGAAAGGGTTCATCAATTTCTTACTAATTGATTGACATAAATTAGTGTTAGCTAGCGACCAACGACCCACGATGCAAACGAGCAACTATTATGCATTCTCTTCTGCTAAAAATTGTAGCAACATTATAACAGTTGCATCAAGTGGCGTGTTAAAAAAAGGAAGTCAAATTCAATGAGTTAGCAAGCATTGGCATAGACAGTGGGCGTAGCGCGAGCAACGGTATGAAACATGTTGCTCAACTATGCCATATACGGCTTAGATACATACATAATATATATATTACATACTGTAGACACAAAGATAGTGAAAGAGAGAGCGAGAGGAAGAAGAACAGAGACACATAAAGAGAGATGAGAATACATATCACGAAAAAAATGATTTGAACGATTGTCAGTGTCACTGTTACGCAAAGAAGCAACAGAGCAGCGCTGGATTACCACAAAAATCAGTGATCGGGTCGAAGCACTAAGTAACGGGAGTCATGTCTATAGCTAATCGGAGTAAACGAACGATTATGGGAACACAAAGCTAAGAAGAGTAAGAGCAAGAGGAGAAATGAGTTTCGCAGTTGATACGCAGTGAAGTTGGTGGTGTTATGAGTACGCAAAGTATGTCTGCAGGTCAGTAGCTGTATAGCATCAGTAAGGAATGAATGTAGTCCCAGTAAAGGAAATTGCTTGACTATTTTTATGCGCAATGCCTTTATGTATGCCTTTTGTGGTTGAATTATGTATTGCTTTCAATGTTTTTTTTAAGATGTGAAGGGAACTGCACAATGCGGTATGAATTGATTTGGTATATAAAACATTTGCTTACGCCCGGATACAACGGCGGATGATGTAATGGCTGGGATTGTGTTGGTGTCATGCCCTGACTCGTGATTGAGACATCAAGAATCGGTGATACTGCGGCTACGACAGGCTCGCTTGGCCCACTTTGCTGCTGGTGTTTTTGGTGCTGCTGGAAGTGGTACACTGCTGCAACGGCCGCCGCATTCTGGTGATGATGGGGATGCATATGACTATGCGGGAGGTGTGTCAGATTGTGATGGGAATGGTTTTGGTGAGAGTGGGCACATTGTCGCTGTGAGGACGACGAATTTAGCGGCGGCTTTGAGACTGACGTAGAACAGGGCCCAGCAGCAGCACCTAATGTCGGCTGACACACTACTGCTGCGGCTGCTGCTGCTGCAGCAGCTACTGCTGCTGCGGCAGCTACACCCATCTGGTGTTGGTGAGCAGGATGTGGGTGATGCTTCGCGTGGTGCATACCCACGGACAGCGCTGAAGCAGCCAGTGCCAGATTATTGGCTGCTTGGGCAGATACGATTTGTGAACTAGTCATCGTGCTCATGGCTTGCAGAGTCTGATCTTTGCCATTTAATAAATGCAGGGACACACCATTGGGTTCCTGAAAAAGAGTTTCAGTTGGTCGTGTATTGATAGGCTTTATGGGATGATAGTGGATATATAGTAGTCGGAGGCTTATTGTGGATGTGTATGCGATTATTGATGTTAAGTGTCCATCAATATAAAACTATTAAGGATATCAGAGGCATTATACCTTTGTATAAGTGCAGTCTGATTTGAAAGTCGTAGATTGAGATCGGCATATATATCTTGGCATTCTATTGATGATTCTACCATTTCAATCAGTGGTTGGTAGTGTTGCCCATACGAGTTGGTGGAGTTTGTGCTGATTCGTTGAACAGCCCTAATCTGACACTGAGTCGTACACTATTTCGCATGTGGGAACTGACAATTCTTTCCTGTTCTACATTTTTACATTAAATTCTTCTATGTATATATTGTGTATACAAAAAAAATAGCAGCCTTCAAACCTCAGAGTCGCATGCATATGGCAAATATGTAAATACTTTAATATACATCAGAAGAGGTTAATTTGAGCCCTTCTTCTGAAGAACTATTGGGATGTTACTTACGACTTTGATTTTCGCTTGAATTTCCCGCAGTTTCCGCCTGGCGAGCACTTGGATGTGCGAGCTAACTTGCTTGCGGGTTCTCGTCTTGCCAGTACGCAGTTTAATGTACCTTGCAATAAGCTCGTTGCGACCTAAAAAAAAAAATTTGAATTGATCGAATATTTATTTTAACTAAATTTTTTTATTTTATACCTGGTACTCGAAAAGTTTAAAGATTTGTCGATAATGTTATTTAATAATGCTTATTAATATTAGGTGTTACGAATGCTTATAATGATTTAGGTTGATTGGAAATAAGATAGTTTCATTAAGTACGACTATTACAGCTGACAATTGGTGAGATGACGACTGATAAAAATTAGGTTAAAAACTGAATGGCGAGGGTCCGCTCACCGGCGACAACCGGCTCTCCCTGACGACCGCTCTTTCGCTTTTGAAATCCGCTCTCCTGGTGTCGGGGAAGGGGTCGCGAGCGTACAGTCAGTCCACGTTTCTTACATACGCACAGTGTTCTATAAGTCTTTATTATTTCATCACATGACCACTGTTCAACTTGTGTTGTACTTTACTGTAATATCAAGTAGGTTTAAGTGTCTCCTCTCTAAGAGAGGACTAACTTTGTTAATCCTAACGGTTCTAATTACTTTAGGAATTTTAGCAAAAGCTAAGCGTAATGGAACACCAAAATAAATAGCACTAATAACACTTTTGTATTACAAATTTGATTTTCTGAGCTTTTTTTAGATTTGTGGTGAAAAGTATATATATTCTTGATCATCATCAATAGTCGCGTCGATATAGCCATGTCTATCTGTCCGTCTGGCCGTACTGTTTGACGCCTAGATCTCAGAGACTATAAGAGCTAGAGGAATCTGTGATATCACAATGAATACTTTTTTTTAAATTTTGACATGCCCCCTTCCGCCCCCACAACGAACGAAAATCTGTGGCATGCACAATTTTGAAGAGCCGAGAAAAATAAAAGCGCAGAGTAGCGCAGTCGTAGAGAATGACCATATCTAGCAGATCATCTGGATCAGATCAGATTAATATTATAGCCAAAGGGAACAAATGAAAATTCAGTGGCTACACAACACGCTTACTCATTCACTCACCTCACACTCTTCCTGCTGCAGTGTGGGCCCTCTGGCTTAGTGGAGACATACTGACTTTGTATCGGGTATTTGTAAATGTAGCGTCGAAACCATGCCACTTTGGGCCCCTTGCAGAATGTTCAAACATAAACATATTATTGAACACATTCACTCATGTATCAAAAAACTGATCTCTAAAGAAATCTCATAAAGTAGATAAGTAATGACAGTTCGGGTGTAAACAAAGATCTGTAACCCATTAAAACATACTACAACAAAACACAAGGGGAGAACACACTTAACCAATGCAGTCCTAAAGTAACACTAATGTAAGCATGCACTCAAATAGACACCAGCAGTAAAATGTATCCTTTGCGTAGGTCTAACGATAATTATACAATACAAAATTGTACCTCCTAACCTCATTTTCAAATCACATATAAGGTTCTGATTTTAAGAATAAAATTTAGTTTGAATTATGACTCAACTCGCAAATGTCTAGACTTTTCTTTTAATGTCTTAACATTTTGTTCCTTCTAGACGCTCCGTTGTTTCTCCCCTGTGGTAAGAGCACGGAGTTAAACTAGCTCCTTTGAGACTGAACAAGTTTCTAGTTTACTGACAGCTAAAGGTAGCAAAATAAAACATTCTGAATTCCCTCCAGTAGGACGGAACAGAGTATAAAAAAAAATTATTCATTATTCGAAAAATCGAAAAGAAAAAAAATATAATCCCAATCATCCGAAAGTTCTAAATGGCCAGCAATTGAAAAAAATACAAGTGGCAACATAACTGTGACTGTGGACTGTGCCCACTGTGCCAGCGACAATAACTGCAGCGACCCCAGCAGAATCGACACCAGCTGCATCGATATCAGCAGCAGTGACAATAGCTACAGCTACATCAGCAGCATCGACAATAGCAGCATGGATTTAGGGAGAGGCAATACCAGCAGCATCGACAGCAGCTTCAGCGGCAGCAGTAACAACAACAGCAGAAGCACAAATCATATATCTCAATTTGTTTTTAAGCCTAATTAAAGTAAGATGTTATCGGAACAAACAGGCTCAAGCCGCGATAACAAAAGAAATTAAGAAGATTGAAGCTGGTCATTTGACCAGCATTGTTATCCAAAGATTAGGAGACCTTAAGAACAAAGTTACAGGCCATAATTCTGCACTGTTGGAGTATGGAGTAGTCGATCATGACGACTATAAGAGACAGCAGTACGAAAAAATGCGTTAAATTTATGCATACATAAAAAGCATGTAGAGTCCAAAAATAATGAAACCCCAACGAAAGGGAAGGTAGAAATAGAAAAGGTACAATCAGTGGAGACTGGAACTTTGAAGGAAGACATAGAGCCCAAAATTGACAATACCATAGAAAAAGTTGTTGAAGAAATCGACAGAATAGTGGAAAACCTGAAGAGGTATTTAGAGCAAACAATGCAGAGGTTAGATCAAGCTAAACTGGGAGTGTAGAATGAGAAAGGGAAAAATTTATTTCCTCAGTGATAGACTGAGCTCAAAAATGGAGGAGTTTTTTCTTAGCTATGAAACAAACGACAGCTTCGACGACCAGATTGACGAGTTAAAATTTGATATTCAAAGCATGCTGAGCCATCTAGAAATAAGGAAGCAAACTGTAGCTAAGGAAAACAGTAAGAATGACGTAGAAGATGTTTGCGAGAAGCATTTCTTGAAACAACAAGAAGAGATGAGAATGGTAGGTATGTGGTTAAAATACCATTTAAAAAAGAAAAGGATCTGGGAGATTCAAAACCACAAGCTATGGCGCGATTTTACAGTTTAAAAAGAAAGCTCAGAAATAATAAAAAATTAAAAGAAAATTACATAAAGTGTATGCATGAATATTAAAACTTAGGACATATGGTAGAGTTCAAAGATGATGGGAAGTATTATTTGCCCCATCAAGGAGTCAAGATATTCCAGTTTAACGACAAAGCTGAGGGTGGTTTTCGATGCTTCAGAAAAACCACAAACAATAAAAGTTTAAATGATATCATGTGGGTTGGACCCCAAGAATCCAAAAAGATATTTTCGATATTATGGCGTAAATGGCCATTTGTGATATCTGCGGACATTGAAAAAATGTACGGGCAAAAATATTTGCATATAATTTGGAGAGATAATCCAAATGAAAAGTTAAAAGAGTATAAACTCACAACCGTTACGTACGCTACAGCGTCAGCACCCTACTTATCAACCAAGGTGGTGCTTGTTGCATAGCAAATAATTGCAAAAATCAAGCAACAAATATCCCAGAAATTATAGAAGGCGTTAGAAATAACCATGAAAAATAAAGTATTAACCATTGAGGAGAATGAATCCGTCAAGACATTAGGACTCCAATGGGAGCCGGTTAAAGACGAGTTAAGGTTCCATTATGTACCAATTAAGAAAAATAACAAGAGAATAGTATTATCTACCTTAGCCAGGATGTATGACCCCTTAGGCTGATTGTCTCCAGTGACACTTGTGGCAAAATTGTTTATTTAAAAACTTTGGCTAGCAGACAATAATTGGAATGAAGAATTATCAGAACAGGATACTCGGGTATGGAATTTGTTGAAAGATAATTTAACAGAGTTAGAGAGCATTCGGATACCAATGGCTAAATTCTCAGCACAATAAGTCGATGCAAATTCATGGGTTTGCCGATGCATCCGAAAAGGCTTATGCTGCCGTAGTGTATGCCAAGTTAGATAGTTCTACAATTATAATAGCCAGCAAAAGCAAAGTTAATCCAAAGAAGAATCGGAAAACTATTCCAAAATTAGAACTTTGTGCAGCACATCTGCTGGCAAAATTAATTCAACGGGTGAAAGTAGCGGTTGGAAGTAATGTAGAGTGTTATGCCTGGAGTGATTCTACTATTACTCTAGCCTGGATAAAGAATGGAGACAATAAAGACAAGTTTATCAGGCGTCGAACTGACGAAATAAGAAAGATTAAGGAAATTAAATGGGGACACGTTAGAACTGAAGACAATCCAGCAGATGTAGCATCAAGGGGCATTATTGCAGATAAGCTAAAAGATTTTAAGATTTGGTGGAAAGGGCCTCAATGGTTGGCGAAATATCAGGAACATTGGCCAAAAGAGGAAATTGAAGAAAAATTAGTTGTTGGCACAACAATGGTAATAGCAAAAAATAACATTTTTTGTGAATTATTACAAAAATATTCGTGTATGCATAAACCAGAAAGAGTCATTGCATATGTATTGAGGTTTATTCAAATCAAAACCAAAAAGAAAGAATTTCCTTCAATTTTGACAGTGAAGGAGATTAAGAGCGCCAAAGTATTAATATTAAAACAACAACAAGCTATCCAATTCGGTTCCGAAATAGCTAGCCTAATTAATAAAAAGGAAATAGAAACAAAAAATAAACTATTAAGCTTAAATCCGTTCTTAGATAAAGACGGATTGTTACGAGTTGGAGGTAGATTGCAAAACTCAAACGCGGAATTTGAGGTTAAACATCCCTTGATTTTAGATAAGTGTCACTTGACGTCTTTAATAATCAAGAATGCACATAAAGAAACATTGCACGGTGGAATTAATCTGATGCGAAATTATATCCAGCGAAAGTTTTGGATATTTGGGCTAAGAAATTGCTTAAAGAAAAAACTTAAAGAGTGTGTCACCTGTGCTAGGTATCGACAGAATACTGCAGAAAAAATTATGGGAAATCTGCTGAAACACAGAGCTACAATGTCGCACCCGTTTACAAATACAGGGGTAGACTTCGCCGGGCCTTGCCATATCCGATGCTCTAAGAACCGGGGCAGAAATACTATAAGGGATATATTGCCGTATTCGTCTGCATTGTGACAAAGTCTATTCATTTGGAAGTAGTCAACGATCTTACTTCAGATGCATTTCTAGCTGTACTTAGAAGAAAAGGAAAATGTGCAAAAATCTTTTCCGATAATGGAACCAACTTTGTGGAAGCTTCGCGAAAATTAGACGAGGAATGCCAAAGAGCCCTGAAGGACAACATAGAATTGGTG